CAAGAATAAATATTAAAAAAAAAAAAAGAAACCACAATGAGATACCACTAGAATGGCTGTAATAAGACATAAAAGCTAGGAATATGGAGAAATTGGAGTCCTCAAACATTGTTAGTGAAAATGTAAAACAGTGTGGCTGCGGTGGAAAAATGGCAGCTCCTCAAAAGTTAAAATGGAATTACCATATAACCCAGTAATTCTCCCCATGGACATACATTCAAGAGAGATGAAAAACATTCACACAAAAAATGTTAATGTTTACAGCCATGTTATGCAGAACAGCCAAAAAGTGGAAACCCAAATGTCAATCAATGGATAAACAAAGGGTGGTATATAAAAACACGCTACAGCCAAATACAAAACGACACATATCATATCACGCCATATAAAAATATCCAGAATAGGCAAATCCATACAGTAGGAAAGTAGACTAGTGGTTGCCAGGGGCTGGAGACAGGGAGGACTGGGGAATTACTGCTAATGATACAGGTGTCTCTGGTGAGCAACTAGAATGTTCTAAAATTGTAGTGATAAGTGAAAATCATAAAAACCACCAAACTGTACACTTTAAAATGGTGAGGCAAGGTGCAGTGCCACACATTTGTAAACCCAGCTATTTGGGAAGCTGAGGCAGGAGGATGAAAGTTCATGGCATTCAGGCAGCTTAGCAAGACCATGTCCCAAAATAAGAAATAAAAAGGGCACCTCTGGGTTCAATCCCCAGTACTGCAAAATAAATAAATAAAATGTTGACTTTTATCATATGCAAATGGTATAAATGAATCTGGTTTTTTAACAATACCACATGGTTTCTGGCTATCCTTTTCATTAAAAGGGCAAAAGAAAATCCTATTGGGCTTCTGTCCTCTATTTCATTTCTGAAAGTTGAGGTCATCAACCTCTGCTTTTCTATCCCATATTTTGGTAAAAAGCCCCCAAATTTTTCTTCGAAATTCTTTCTACACAGCCCTGGAGAAGTCTCCCAAGCAGGCAGCTGAAACTGAGGGCTCTCAGTCTAGACAATACTCATCTCAAGAAGCTCCTCATCTGTACTAACCTAGTATTTGCACTTCAAAATGACACACAGTAGCTGGGTGTCATGTCTCAGCAACTCAGAAGCCTAAAGTAGAAAGATCACAAATTTAAGGCCAGCCCACAGGAACTTAAAGAGACAGGATCAATCTCGAGTACCAAAAGAAAAAAACAAACAACAAAAAAAAAATTATACACAGTTGCTGAACATAGAGGCATGCACTCAGTCTCAGCTATTCAGGAGGCTGAGGCAGGAGGCTCTCTGGAGCCCAGAAATTGGGAGAGCAGTCTAGACAATACAGACGAGTCTCAAAAACAAAGAACACTCCACAGGTAATTTTACAAGCGCAAATGATATAAACTGTACAATTTTATTTCATATATTTATTTATGTATTTGTTTGTTTTGTGCCACGCGGGGGATGGAATCCAGGGCCTCCACACAACATAAACAAATACTCTGCTACTCAGTTACATCCCGACCTGGCTTAGATATTTTTTTCTATCTACATATATTTCCAGTTTTTTGAACTAAGAAATGAACTCTTCAGAAAAACACAGGACTATGCCCTAAGACTGACCCAGTGCCCTACATACTATTATTAGTGGTGTCCCATGTGGTCCTTTGTTTCCATGATACCCTGCCACAAGTGTGGGACTCACATGCCAGTTCTATGACTTACTAGTTTTGTGACTTGAGGCAAGTCACCTAAACTGAGCGCCTCTGTTTACTCATTCCCAAAATGAGGCTAACAGTGACCTGACCTTTGGTGCTTAGAGAAAGTAAAACGGCTGGGCATCTGGCACACTCTATGTATGAGCTGACTGGTGTCGCGGCTTTTTCTTCCCACTTGCACTGACTGATTAAGCTCTTTTCGTCGGCTTCCTCGTCTATAAAGACTACATCAAAAGACAGTAAAATCAAAGATTGCAACTCTGGGCCTACAGCAAGCGCTCAAAAAAAAAGTTCCCTTCTTTTCCGACCCGTTTCCAAGGCGGTTTTTCGAGCATTGCCCTCCAGTCCCTTGGCGGCTGGACCGAGATGCCACCGACAGCGCGGAACCGCTCGCTGACACTTCGGCAGCGGCTCACGAGCGGTGCCCCCGGCAGCGCGACGCGCCTCCACGCCGGGAAGCCATGTTCCCAGCCCTGGAGACAGAAAGGTGTGCGGGACGGCGCCGCCACCCCTCCTCCCGCCCGCCCGGCCCGCGGCCGCGGGTCCCAACACAAAGGCCGCGCCGGTGCCCCCTCGTCTCCCCACCCGGCCGGCTGCGGCGCGGGCGTGCGCCGAGGCGAGGCGGTGGTCGCGGGGCCGACGGCCCGGGGCGGGGACCCCCGGGGAGGGAGCGGTCCGGCCTCACCTTGGCCCGCTTGCGCCGGCTGGTCCGTCGTCCCTCGGGGGTCTCCGCTATTCCCGTCTCCATGGGGGTCGCAGACCCAGGCACCACCGTAGGCCCGGCCTGAGGCCCGACGGACCCCGGCGGCTCGGCCAGGCCCCCGGGGGGCGAGGCCCGCGGAGGCTCCTTCTTGCGGGGAGTGCGCTCCCCGGCCGCTCCCGGTCCGACCTCGGCAGGGCCCGACAGGCCCGCGGGCGGCGCGGACACCTCGGAGCCATTCTCGGCGCCGCCCGCTGCCCCGGGGCCGGCCTCCGTCCCAGCCGCCGCCGCCGCCGCCGCCGCCGCCGCCGCCGCGGCCTTCTTCCCGGACAACATCTCAGGCCGCCGGGCCGCCGACGGCCGCCGGAGCCGCTCGGTCTGTCGCTCCGTGGGTCCGGAGCCGCCGCGCCGCGCTGCGCCTCACACTTTCCAAGCGCCTCCAACAGCCGCCGCGTACGCTCGTCCTACGCGCGCTCCCGCCGAGTCGGGACAAAAAGGCCCGGAGCCGCGCCCGAGCCCGGCCCCGCCCCCGCTGCCATAGAGCGGCGGCTTTGCAGCTAGAGCGACGCCATGGACTGGAGCCCGAGGCTGGTCTAGAGCGGCCCCTCAGCCTTGGGAGTTGCATCCAGCCCCGACAGTGCTCTAGGCGTTCCTGGACCAAACTGCACCTCCGAAGGCCACCTTTTCTTTATTCCAGAGACTTGCATCGTTCACTCCTTCCTTCCCCCGCTCTTTCGTCCTTTCAACCAATATTTACTAATGCTCATGAAGTTATTCTTTCAAAGAACTTACAGTTTAGTGGGGGGAAGGCACATGGAAGTGTAACTGGTTGAACTTGTGAAGGGCACACGAGTCTCGGTGGTAATAAGACGGAGGGGAGTTAGGAAATCCAGGGTGGAGTCCACGTGGAATTGCTCCTCGTCCCCAAGCCTTTGCTCGTGTTCTCCCCGGTCTCCGGACCCCGCCCCACTCCTGCCGCGCTCTCGCCCGCACTCCACGTCCCCCGCCCTCGCGCCCTGCCACCTCCTGCTCTACGCCCCAGTCGGGTCTTCCCGACGACGCTGAGTCCGGGGGTGGTGGCGGGGTTTTCATTTAATTATTCAAGGAATCCCTTGCTGATCCAACGGAACAGTTCTTGTGTTCTTCGAGCTTCTTTCCAGTTGTTACACAGATAGAAGCTTGTTTGTCTGCCCAAGGTCCTGGGGATTGAACCCAAGGGCACGCTTCCACGGAGCATCCTCATCCCCCCCCCTTTGTTTTAAATATTTATTTATTTATTTATTTTTGTGGAGACAGGGTCTCATTGATTACCCACGTTAGCCTCGAACTTCTGATCCTCCTGCCTCTCAGCCTCCCAAGTAAGTGGGATTCCGGCATGCCGCACCATACCCGGCTATAAATCTGCCTTTTTAAGTCACCTATCTCTTCAAAGACTAGTTTTCAAACAAAACTATGCCATTTACATAAAATTTAAAAAAAAAAAACTGGTTTAAAAAAAAAAACTCATCTCTAGGAATAAAATCCAGTCAGTGGTCACCTGAAATAAGAGTAGGGGTTGACAGCCAAAGACCAGGAGGGGATTATCAAAGCCAGGAATGGAAATGATTTAGGCTTGAATGGAGTGAGTTTTCAGCAAAACTCAATGAACTAGGCATGCAAAATAGGTGTATTTGTTTACTGTAAACTGTACTTAATGAAGTTAAATTAAAAACAAACAACTAAGTAAACAGGAAGGGGGGAAAAAAGAGACAACTAATCCAGGAAGAAAAAGAAAGCTATGCAAAAAAGAAAATGTAATCACAGCACAACATATTGATGTGGCATAATGAACATAGACAATGAATATTGTTTTACTAAAGTGATAGAATTATACTGAGAGCATGGAGAAAAAAGATTGGAGGGGGGAGAGAGAAGAGAGGGGCTGAGGGCAGGGTCAGAGGAGGCGCCAAGTGAGAGCTAAATCCTCAAGGTCCATCCCAGAATAAATGGTAGTCGAGAAATCAAGAAATAACAGTATAAGCATAATGTTTAGGAATATAAAGGTAAATGCCAGGGAAACAACTGGAAGATTGAGAACTGGTTACCTGTGAGACATGGAACTTGAGGTGGCAGGCTGTTGAAACTTGTCTTAAACCCTGTGGGTCGACCTGACTGGTTTGCACATTTAACAATCTGATAAAGCTTGAGATTTGATTTGGGGGTTGAACCCAGGGACACTTAACCACTGAGACACATCTCCACCCCTTTTTTATATTTTATTTAGAGACAGAGTCTCACTGAGTTGCTTAGGAGCTCACCAAGTTACTGAAGCTGGCTCTGAACTCACCATCCTCCTGCCTCAGCCTCCTGAGCCACTGGGATTCCAGGTGTGCATCACCTGGCGGTTGTGAGGAAGTCATGAGACATGCTTGAAAACTGCCTGTCAAAGAGTCTGGCACACAGTGAGTGCTTAAGACATAGGTGTAGTTAACATTGTTATGCAGCAGCTGGGTGGGGGGAAGGGACTAATTATGACTCAGGAGTGAGTGGCTGTGCCTCCTGTCATGGAGGGGACTGAGGCAGGGTCCTAAGGCCCGTGTTCTTCCATGCCACAATGTTGGGGGAACTGATGCTTGTTTTTAGGAATTTCCTTGCCATACTTGCTTCCTCGGGCACCCTGGGAGCATTGGTGGCTTGGTTGATAAGCTATAAGCCAATTTTGTTTGGGTTCCTATTCCTTCTACTATTGCTTAGCAACTGGCTGGTCAAGTATGAACTCAAGCCCACCTCCTCAGAGAACTGTCAGGTGAGCAAGATGGGATTTAGCATCAGCTGAGGGTTATAGGATATTCTGCTGGATTGGGGAGTGGAGGGCCGGACAGTGAAAGGATGATGGGGGAAGACTGAGGAACTTAAAACTGGTCTGAGTCCCTGCCCTGGAGATACCTCTTAGTGATGGTGGACAAAACATGTCCCTCACAAGGCCTCAGTGGTCTTAACTGTAAAATAGTGACCTGTATATGCTCCTACTTCATGTTTGAAGTCCACATGCTTCAACCATGGTATGGGCTACTCTAAGTGGAATGATTTCAAATGGCTAGAGATACAAGTGCCAACATAGGTACAACTCTAGAGAACAGTCACAAAGACAGAAGAAATGCACCTAGTGTAGACTATGCCATTGTGTCTGTATAATATATACCTGAAATGATCGATTTATAAAGAGAAGAGTTTATTTTGTCTCAGGCTCCATGATCAGGCAACCCATCACTTTTAGGCCTCTGTTTGGGGGTGTGGTAGAGGATATCCCCCCATGACTTGAAAACCTCTCTCGGACCCACCTTTTAAAGGTTCCACCATCTCCTAATAACTGGGAACTAACTCTGCTATGCAAATCTTTGGGACACATTTCGGGTCCAAACTATAGCAGATATCTTTTATATAGTATCAGAAAAGGTGGTGCATACAGGTAATCCCAGTGACTCTGGAGGCTAAGATAGGAAGATCACAAGTTCAACACCAGCTTCAGCAACTTAGTGAAACCCTATCTCAAAATTAAACAAAAGGGCTGAGGATGTGGCTCAGTGGTAAAGCACCCCTGGGTTAAATTCCCAGAACAACAACAAAATCAAAACAATATCCTATATTGTCTATAGATGTATATGTGTAATGAAAGTATTCTAAGGGAGGAGGTCTCGACCTTGACACTGGTGACATCCTGGTAGCATAATTTGTTGTCCAGTTGTCTTGTGCATTAGAAAGTTTAGCAGTACCCTGGATTCTACCCCAAAGACTCCAGCATCACACCCCCACCCTGTTTGTGACAACCAAAATTATCTTCAGATATTGTCACATGTCATTGGGGAGAGGCAAAATAGCCTCTGATTTAAAAATGTATGGGAAAAAGTAAATACTAAATTCAGGATTACAGATGGGTCCGGTGGCACACACCGGTAAACCCAGCAACTCGGGAAGCTAAGGCACAAGAGTTGCAAGTTCAAGGCCAGCCTCAGCAATTTAAGGAGACCATGTGTCAAAATAAAAAATGAAAAGGGCTCAGATGTAGCTCACCAGTAGAACACTCTTAGGTTCAATCCCAAGTACTGCAGAGAAAACACGCTCAGGATCACAATTGAGGAGACGATATTTAAGGGTGGGGTGGGGAGAATATTTTAGAAGGGGCCCATAGGAGATTTTAATTCTATTTGTGATATTGTCCTTCTTAAACTGGTGTGGGAACACAGATATTTGTTATGATAATTACTTTTTTGCACACCTGAAATTGTATTAAAGGGTTTTAAATACCAGTAGTTTGTAGTTGAATCCAAAAATAAGGATCAGGTGATATTATTAGCTGAGGGGAAGAGGACAGCAAAACTGAATGAGCGTTATTGAGATCAGAGCATGTTGGCAGGGCTGGGACTGGGGCTGGGGCTGGGGCTCAGTGGTGGAGCACTTGCCTAGCATGGGTGAGGCCCTGGATTCGATCCTTCAGCACCATGTGAATATAAAAATAAATAAAACCAAACTAAAATAAAGAATTTCATCCAATGGGGCTGGGGTTGAGGCTCAGTGGTAGAGCACTTGCCTAGCATGTGTGAGGCACTGGGTTCGATTCTCAGCACCACATATAAATAAATAAAATAAAGGTCCATCAACAACAACAACAAATTAAAAAAAAAGAATTTCACCCAAGAAGTTTGGGGGGGGGGAAGCATTCTATGAGAGCACTGAGACTTGGCAATTGAAGGATCCATGAGCCCTGACAAAATGCTCCGAGAGGCACACTGGAAAAACAAACTCTGGGGACAGATGTATTGGGTTAAGGACTTTATGTCTTCTGCAATTGGCAGATCATTCCTATGAACCAAAGGCAACCAAAGGTCTTGGGAGTTTGGGGTCCATGTGGCTCGAGAAAGTGAACTTCCCTTGCTGGGTCCCCACTGTCACTCACAGAAGATGGCAAAACTGCTTCCTTTTGAAGCAGGTGAGAGAATTGGTTAAGATGAGGGCATGGAGCAAGAAGGGATGAGCATGAATAACCATTTTTTTCCCTTTTCCTGGTGGTTGGGAGCTTAGGAGGAGGCCATAAATTCAAAGACTCCAGAAGCCCACCCCAACAACAATAACCTGAACACAAAACAAGTGGAGAGGCTGCAGGCCTGCTTTGCGCTCCAGGACAAGATCCTTGAACGGCTTTTGTTCAGTGAACTAAAGCTGAAGGTCTTGGAAAATCAGATGTTCATCATATGGAATAAATTGAATCACCCTAAGCGATCAAGCAGACATCGAAATTTCCCCACGAAGAAAGACAAAACGAGGAGGCATGAGTCCACGTTTTCCATCCTCTCTGATTGTACTTCCAATTCCCCCACCTAATGAGACTGAGGTGGGCTAGCTTCTGCTGATGTTACCTTGACTCATTGTATTAGTCTGTTTTTTGTTGCTATGACAAAAATGCTGGTAACTGGGTACTTTATAAAGAAAAGAGGTTTATTTAGCTCTCGGTTCTGGAGATCCAAGAGTATAGTGCTTATATCAGCTTTTCCTAGGGCCTCATGGCAGATGGCGTCACATGGCAAGTGAGAAAAAAGACAGATCCCATGGTGAGAAAGAAAGTACAAGAGAGCATTGAGAAAGCTGAATTTGCTTTATAACAAACCTCTCTTGAGATAACTGTTCTAGTCCCCCAAGATCTAATCCACTCCCAGAGAGAGGCGTTAATTCCTCCGAGAGCAGTGCCCCCAGTGACCTACTCGCCTCGAATGAGGCCCAGGTAATGGAAACTTGGAGTCCAGAGGAACTGAGAAAGTGACTTTCCCCCTTTGGGTCCCAATTCCCTTGGGGCTCCACCACCTCCCAATACCATTGCACAGGGGACCAAGCCCCCAGAACATGGGAACAAATGACATCCAAACCCCAGCACTCAGTAGAGCCCAGGAGGTCACTGAACGTTCTCAGTGAGTCACACTGGAGAGGCACCTGGGGGAAAGAGGAGGACAGACTGAAAGGCCATCTCTGGAGGGTAAACCTCTATGCAGCCAGCCTGCCGGGTGGCTAAGGGTGCAGCCTGAAGTCCTCTGGGGCTCCTGAGTCCTCCTAGTCAGGCCCCTTCTACCCCACCCAGGTCCTGTTCCCCCGGGGTCTCCCCACTGCTGCCTGAGCCCCCACCTGCACTCAAGCCAGAGGAGCCCTGCCAAGCACGACTCTGACCGTGCTCCCTGCCTATGCCCGGGTCTTGCTGCTGTGGTCGACAGAATGAAACCCACACTGATTCCCCTGGTGTTCACGTCCCCCCGACCTGACCCCTACCCAGCCCTTCTTCGCCTCCATTACTCCTCTGCACACCCCAATCTGCTCTTGGTGGTGTATATCTGTAATCCCAGCAACTCTGGAGTCTGAGGCTAGAGGATTGCAAATTCAAGGCCAGTAGCAGCGATTTAATGAGGCCCTAAGCAAAAGAAAAAATAAAAAGAGGGGCTGGGGTTGTGGCTCAGTGGTAGAGCACTTGCCTGGCACGTGTGAGGCACTGGGTTTGATTCTCAGCACCACATATAAATTAATAAATAAGGTATTGTATCCATCAACAACTAAAAAAAAAAATCAAAAAAGAACTGGGGATTTAGCTCTGTGGTAAAGCACTCCTGGGTTCAATTCCTAGTACCACAAAACAAAGAAAGTATGTCTAAATATTCTAAACATCGGTTATTTCTGTACCATTTTTGTGATTTTGCCATAGCTGTGCACCACCTGAATGTGTAACCCAACCTTGTCTCTGCTTTTTTTCTCCTTACCAGGGATTCAACGCAGGACTTTGTACATGTTAGGCAACTGCTCTACCACCAACCTACGTCTCCAGCCTTAGTATTGTCCCTTTAAATCAGCTATTTCTTTCTTCCATAAATTTATCCATAAGGGAAAAAAATAAGTGGCAATTTCTCTGTAAATAAAAAAAAAGTGTGATTCACTTACATAGCACACAACTGTAAAAATAAAGACACTAAAAATAAAATCATGTTTGATCTAACCAGAGCCTATGAATTTGGGGGTTAGAAAGTGAGAAAACCAAGTGTCAAGAGTTTGAGAGACAGACTAGCACCAAGCTGAGGCTTCTCCATTAGGAGAATTGGGAAGGAAGTCACCATCGCACTGTGATTCAGTGTGGCCTAATGCCACATTGCTGTCCCACTAAAAATCACCCCCCTCCTAGCATCTAACCCAGTGGTTAGTATACAGTCAGTGCTCAATAAATAACAACTCTGAAGGTGGATCTCAGGTTTATGTGTTCTGGCCTTTTCTCTGCCATGCTCTTGTATCATATTTTAAGGGCCAGATCTCTGGGGCTAAACTGCCTGGGATTGAATCCCACCTCTACAATTGGGAATGGTGCAGCAACTCAGGAAGCCAAGGCAGGGGGATCGCTTGAGTCCACAAATTCAAAACCACCCTGGCCAGCACAGTAAGCAGAGAGCAGAAAGGAGCGCATGAAATGAGAACCACGGAACAGGAATGAGGCACCAAAAGAAGGTTTATTGGGGGGGCGCTCTGGACGAGATTCACCCGTCAGCAAAAGGGTGAGGGCCGGGGAAGTCGCAGGTGGGAGGGGTCAAGAACAATGCTAATTAGGGAAGCTGGAGGTGGGAGGGCCTAGGCCATCTAAATTGCAGCTACTGACAGCAGGTTGGCCAAGCCCGAGTTTAGGGGTTGGTGTCTGTCACTGGGTTGGTCAGAGCTGATGTGAGATGACAGGGCTATTGCTTCAGTAGCAACCATGGTGGTTGGTGGTCCCAGTGCCATTTCAGCTTCTGATTGGCCATTTAGGTCCCGCCCCCAGCTGCCATGAGGGAGGGGGAAGGGAAGCCTGCCAACCTAACAGTAAGACCCTGTCTTAAAAAGAAAAAAACTGTCCCAACTCTCAGTTGTGTGAGCCTACACAACTTTACATCATTTATTCTTACTGTCCTCTGCCACCTCGACTATGTAATTGGGAGAGTAAGATCACGGATCTTATAGAATTGTTGTTAGGATGAGAGGGTGTATGAGTCTGTTTTTGCTGCTATAACAAAATACAAAGTTTATAAAGCAGCTGGTTTCCTTCTATTTACACTGTCTCCTTATCATACAGTTGCTTGGCTATACTCTTGGCTTTTTCTCCTTTTTTAATATTTACTTTTTAGTTATAAGCAGACATAATATATTTTATTTTTATGTGGTGCTGAGGATCGAGCCCCGTGCCTCATGCATGCTAGGCGAGCGCTCTACCTCTGAGCCGTAACCCCAGCCCCAGCTTTTTCTCCTTCATACACATTGTCTTTACTTTGCCAAGCTAAGACATTTTCAAATAGTTATGGTCTGCTTCCTTTTTAATTATAAATCATCCTCTTCTTTAAATCATTTTTCTTGTCTCCCATTTTGCCATAAGGGATTAAGAGAAACCTTGCCACACATCCTGAGCCCTTTACAGCTTAAAGATACCATTTGCCAAACATCCTAAAGTCCCAGGACACAGACACAATTCAGCCAAGTTCTTTCCCACTTTATAACAAGGATGGCCTATCCTCTGGGTTCCAATACCCGGCTCCTCATTTCTGATTGGGACCTAATCAGAATCAGCATGACTGTCACAACATGTAAGTCATCTCTGAGAAGAAAGGGCCTTCCCATGGCTCCTTTTCTGCACCCTCTCCAGAACTGCCCTCCATGCTCTATTCTCGGCAGCTCAGGCTTTTACAGTGGGGCCTTCCTTTGGCCCAGCCTCTATCCATCTCTCATTCCAAAGCTGCTTCTGCTTTTTGAAGGGTTTGTATGTGACGTCCTCCTGTACTACCAAATTCTGTCTTAGTCTGTTTGTGCTACTATAAGAAAATGCCTGAGACTAGATGACTCATAAAGAACAGAAACTTATTACTTAGAGTTCTGGAGGCTAGGAAGTCCAGGATCAAAGTAGTGGCACATTTGGTGCCTGGTGAGGATCTGCTCTCTGCTTCCAAGATGGTACCTTGACCTCCACACTCTCCAGAGGGAGGGAATGCTGTGTCCTCACAAGACAGAAGGTGGAAAGGAAAAAGAGGAAAGAAGAAACAAACTGCCTTGGTCAAGCCTTTAAAAAAGAAAAGAAAAGAAAAGAATACTACCTTTATTTTATTTATTTATTTTTATGTGGTGCTAAGGATCAAACGAACCCAGAGCCTCGCATGTGCTAGACCACTGAGCCACAATCCCAGCCCTGTCAAGCCTTTTGATAATGGCATTAATCCATCATGAGACAGGAGTCCTCTTGACCTAAACACCTCCCATAAGGCCACGCCTCCCAATATTGTCACATGGAAGGTCAAGTTTCTACCAGATTTTAGGAGACATATTCAGACTAGCAGATGAGCCACTGCACCCCTCCAGGTCTTGGCTCAGATGACCCCTCCTACTTAAAATGGCACCCTCCCTTGTGTGTCAGAGATCCTGACCTGCGCCTCAGGTCCCCTCTCCAGCCCTTTCCTGACTTTTCTCCAGGAACACTGTATGGGAATGGTTGACATCATTGGGTCCCCTTGCCCCATGGCTTCCAGCTGGGTTTGGCCAATGGGGGTCTCTGGAAGAAGGCAGGAGGAAGGAGCAGGTTGGGGTGTTTGCCTCCCCAGCTCCCTCCTGAAGGCCCGCGGCAGCTGGTGTGGGCTAGCTGTGCCCCAGGGAGCTCTCTCTATCACTCTTTCCTTCCAGGTCCCCTTTGGGCCTGGGCTGGTGGCATCTCCACAGGTTTCCTGCTCAGGGGTTCTGCACCATCCTTGGGGGTCCCCCATAGCCCACTCGATCTTTGTAAATAGTCGCTTTTGTGCAAGTTTCAACCCGCCATTGCTAATGGTCTTGCTGAGTGGAACTGGACCATCAGGAGAACAGCCATGTATGTGCCCCCCCCGTGGCGGAAACAGAACAATTCGACCATGAACTTGATCTGTATGTGACATGTGAGGCAAAATAAGGCACTGATCTTGCAGAGAGCATCTGGAATATTAATAGTAATAAAGCTAATCAAGATGTTGTGACGGTCACATCCTTTTGGGGTCCTAGACTCAGGTCTGGGCCTGCCACAATAGCAAAACCCCATGGAGGTCTGAGGTGGCCTGGGGGCCTGTCTTAGCCTGTTATGAATGAGGCCCGTGGTGTCATATTACTTACCAGCAGCACTGTTCGGTGGCCCCAGGCAGTTGAGGCCCCATACCCTGTGGCTCTGAGCAGTCCACAGTCAGTGGTGGCTGTGAGGATTCTGCCTGCCAAGGACATGATTTAGGCATCTGGGTGGCTGATCTCTTCCACCAGGGGGACAGCTCCCAGACTCTAAAGGCTCCCAGGATCCTCTTTGTCCTGGGCTGGGACTTCCTGATGAG